AATTGTAGTTCTTTCTGTAGTAAGATCTTGAGCAAGTGCTGTAAGCTCTGTGAGTGGAAAGATGAAGGGACCCACCCACCTTGAGCTCTTTAATATGCAGAATATCAGGCTCTTTAAATGCAGAATATCAGACTCACCAGGTCGCTGGTGGTGAGTCTGATATTCTGCATTTTAAACAGCCTCCCAGGAGGTGGCACTGCTGCCAGTTCAGGAACTACAAGGGCCGTGGGAGAACAGTGGCTCTTTCAGCTTTTATCTGCTGTGATTCTAGTCACTGTTCCTCGTTCTTAATGAAATTACAGAATATATGGTGATTACTAAACATCTCTTCAATTTATCAGAATGCTGAAAAGGTCGATTTTGTGCCTTGTGAAATTGCCAATGTGTGATAATGGGCCTAAAATTGAAAGTGATTTTCTTGCTGTTAAAAATTTGACATCTTAAAAATATCAACTAATAGATGTCTATGAGAGCATTTCAATTAGTATTAGTTTGTCATCTAAAATGTCAGAATGCTTGCTTACTGGGGAACATTTACAATCAGTAAATTTGTCTTATGCTAATGAGGAAGATGAGTCAGACATGTGACCTCACAGTATAAATATAAACACGGAGGAGCTGTTGATGAATTCATTGTTATCGGAGGAGACGTTCCTAGCTGATTCCTTCAATTTGCCAGAAGGTGAGACTCCATTCTTTGTCTGAAGTGTTCATAGGTGTATTCTGGGTGCATGCTGCCCATTGAACATGAATGCTGGGAATGGTTCTTCTTTGAAAATGTGGTTACTATTTCTTTTGAATTTTACTTCCTTAAGAAGCCGGTGTATTTCATTAGGGACCTTTGCCAGCTTAGACATTTTATGTGTGTACTTGATTAGCTGTATAAATGTCTAAAAGTATTTGAACTGCGTCTTATGTATAACTTATATATACAGGTATCTCTTTATTCTCAACCACTCCAGATCTGTTGATCAGACATAGCTTCAGTGTGCAAATAGGTTCTCTCCATGCCTCCATCCATGCCTGTGAGGTCTTTCATCATTTCCAAATGCTGCTTATTAGGCCAGGGGTTCTAATTCCATGTTATTCTTAGTCTTACTATTTATATATTTTTAAAAAATCTACTTATTCTTATTAGAAAGTCAGATATACCGAGCGGAGGAGATATAGAGATCTTCTGTCCGCTGGTTTACTTCCCAAGTAGCCACAACGGCCAGAGCTGAACTGATTCAATGCCAGGAGCCAGGAGCTTCTTCTGGGTCTCCCAAGCAGGTGCAGGGTCCCAAGGCTTTGGGCCGTCCTCGACTGTTTTCCCAGGCCACAAGCAGAGATCTGGATGGAAAGTGGAACAGCCAGAATTAGAACCAGCTCCCTTATGGAATCCTGGTGCTTTAGCCACTAGGCTATCATACCAGACTCACTATTTATAATTTACTTTTTAAAAAAACTTAAAATCTGGACAAAGGGTATCGAAAACTGGAAAATGTATGGAATATAACTTACAGTTGACGTGATTATCTTTAATAATGAGATTTTATACCTCTGATAGAATGAGACAGTTTATACTACCAAAGTAAAACTGTGTTTCATTTTCCCATTACAATTGTAGATGAGATAGAAATTTCATACCATCATCATATTTTGATCATTTTTAAGATTATTTATTTATCTGAAAGGGAGACAGAGGTTTCCCAGTTGCTGGTTCACTCTGCAGATCCCTTCAGCAACTGTAGATGGGCCAGGCCAGATCTGAGAGCTGGGAACTCAATCTGGGCTTCCCAGTTGGCTGGCAGGGACCTGTTTTTTACTCGCTGCCTTCAGGGTGCCCAGTATTGGGAAGCTGGAACTGAAAGTATCACTCAAGCTCGAACCCAGGCACACTGTATGTAAGGCAGGAGTGCCAAGTGATGTCTCACCTGCTCCACCCAGGTTTGCCTCTTTTGTAACCTTTGGTTCCCGTAAGTAAAACTAGTTGGGACAAGAACAATAGAGGGATTGGATATAAACAGAGGCACTGGAATAAATGCTTTTGCTCTGTGCCCACCTAGTAGCCCATCTGCCATCCTCCCTCTAATATAACCTTATAGGAGGGTAGTCAGGTTAGTTATTTTCTGCATGCCCGCTGGACTCTTGCTGCCACTATTTTTTTTTTAAGATACATTTATTTGAAAGAGAAAGAGGAGAGACAGAAACGTTTTCGATCCTCTGATTCACTGCCCAAATGGCCGCATGTCCAGGGCTATGCCAGGTTGAAGTGAGGAGCCCAGGACTTCCTCTGGGTTTCCCATTTGGGTGCAGAGGCCTAAGCACCTGGGCCATCATCTGGATTGAATGCCAGCACCCCAGGTGGTGGCTGAACCCATTGTGCCATACAGCCCCCATATGGCATCTTGCTGGGGGGTCTTTATGGAGGCTTTCTTGTGGTTTATTACATTGCTGCTAAGGGAGATTTAACTTTATAAAATAGTAATTTATGTTGAAGTCAAATTGAGGTTTTTGAAATGAACTGGGTGCTCAGTGCATTTGCTGCAGTCTAAATAGATTGTCCTTTGGGAAATGCCCTAACCAGGACTGTAATTTGAGATCCCTGTGCTCCTCTTTGGAATCTTGAAAAGAGTATTTTCTGGGGCCAGCACTGTGATGTAGTAGGTAAAGCCTCTGCCTGCAGTGCCCACATATGATCACTGGGTTTAGCACCAGTTGGAACTCACAGTGGCCCTGGACTACTTTGTCACCGGGAGTACCCATTTCTCTATCTTTGTCCTTCATCTGGATTCCTTAAAATAAAGAGCTTTGTTATACCCCTGTTGGCAGCCAGCATGCATAGTGTAGTGCCTGATCTTATATAGGCTTCCATTTCTGATCCAGCTGCCTGCTAACATGCCTGGCAAAGCAGCAGAGGCCCAAGCATGTGAGACTCTGCACCTACATGGGAGACCCCAAAGAAGCTCCTGGGCTGCCTTCAGACCAGCCCAGCTCAGGCCGTTGTGACCATTTGGAGAGTGAACTGGTGGATGGAAAACCTCTGTGTCTGTCTCTCTTTGTAGCTCTGCCTTTCAAATACATTTTAAAAAAGATTTTCTGTCACCCTCAGAGTTATTATCATTATAACTGGTGTTTTTTGATTTTGCACTCAGAAATTTAATCTATTTGATGTTGAACTTAAGTATCTGGCTAATTAAGTAAAAAGTAGAAAAAGTTATTTAGGACCAGTGCAGTGGCTTAACAGGCTAATCCTATACCTGCAAACACTGGCATCCCTTATGGGCACCAATTTGTGTACTGGCTGCTCCACTTCCCTTCCAGTTCCCTGCTCATGCTCTGGAAAAGCAGTAGAGGATGGCCCAAAGCCTGTGACCCTGCACTCCCATGGAAAACTGGAAAGAAGCTCCAGGCTCTTAACTTCGGATTGGCTCAGTTCCAGCCATCGAGACTATTTGGGGAGTGAACCAGTGGATGAAAGATCTTTCTGTCTCTCCTCTGTCAATATGCCTTTCCAATAAAAATGAATAAATCTTTTTTTCAAAGAAAAAAAATTGTTAGTAGTAATTTTTCTACTTCCAAATTGCTTTTGAAATTTTTGACAATGGCCTTATATATTCTCTCCCAATGCTATTGTCATATTTTAAGCTTTGATTTTCAATAAATTATTTTTCCTATAAGTAGGGCAAGTCCATTAGCACTATCTGTAAAGCACTGTGTGATTTTAAAGGAAGCCAGCATATATATAGTGTCACCTACAGTATAGATACTGAAAATTCCAAATATTTTCTCATAGAGTCTCAGTCAGGAAAAACTTTGATTTATCAGTTGTTCAGATGAGAAGAATAATTGGAGATGATTTCAGAGAAAGTACTCTGAAAAAAATTAATTTTTCTCAATTTCTAGAGATTTTAGCACAAACATGTATAACTATATGTATGTACTTTAAATATTTATTTATTTATTTGAAGGAGTTTGAAGGAGAGAGGTAGAAACAGCGAGAGCTTCCCTCTGCTGATTCACTCCCTGCACAGCTGGATTAGGTCAGGCTAAAGCCAGGAGCTAGTTGTTCATTTAACTCTCCCACATGGGTGCCAAGGTCTTCAGCTGCTTTTCGCAGGTCATTAGCAGGGACCTAGCTCCAAAGTAGACAACTCAGGACATGAACTGGTGCTTGTATGGGATTCTAGGGTTGAAGGTGGTGTCCTTACCCATTACGCCACAGAGCCAACCCCTCCCCTATGATCTGAGCATGTGCATGTCAGACTCATGAATTCTAGATCTGCCAGATCTTTGACTATCATTAGATTGGGTAATGTTTGGACTGACCTAGTAATAGTTGTTACACAACTTTTCACCTCACTTATTCTAGCTGAAACTTCTAAAATATGTGTAAAAATAGTTGGTGGTAGTAGACAATTCTATGTTTCTAGGTTAGCACACTGACCAAACCCACTACTTAACTTAACCCTGTCCCAAATCCTCATTCATGTGTTCTTCTAGATACAAGCATGGCTGAACAAAAATTCTTGTTACTATTTCTCTGAAAGAATGAAGATGGGGTCCAGAGAGGAATGGCTGCACTCTGCAGTTAGGCTTTAAAAGGTTTCCTCTAGGCTTTAAAAAATCCATCGTTGCTTCACATGAGTTTGCTCGACGTAATTCTTTGTCCTCTTAATAAAAGGGTTATAATAGAGCAGGGACAGCCACTTGCCTTGGTAGTTCAGTTGTCAGTTGGGATCCCTGTGTCTCGCAGCTGAGTGTCAGAGTTTGTGTCCAGCTCTGAGTTCAGCTTCTGCAATGCAGACCCTGAGCGGCAGCAGTGACAGCTCGTGTGGTTGTGTCCGTGCCACTCACCGTGTGACCAAAACCTGGCTTGAATTCCTGGCTTCTGGCGCAACCCTGCTGGCTCTTGCAGGCAGTTAGGGCGTGAACTAGTAGGTAAGAGCTCTTTTGGCTCTTCCCGTCTCTCAAAGTTTGAAAAAAAGTGTCACAGTCCAACTTTTTTTCTTTTTCAGTTTCCAAAAAAAGACATATAGCAAAATGAGTAATCCAGCTATCAAGAGAATAGGAAATCACATTATCAAATCTCCTGAAGACAAGCGAGAATACCGTGGGCTGGAGCTGGCCAATGGAATCAAAGTGCTTCTCATCAGTGACCCCACCACGGATAAGTCCTCGGCTGCGCTTGATGTACATATAGGTACAGTTAAAACAGTGAATTGAGCTTTGTTCACTTGACCTAATGTGGACATTTACTAGAACCTTCCACAAGAATACAGTGTATGACCCCCAAATTGCCATTGATGTATTTTATTTTGTACCAGAACCCCTTTTTTCAGCTGTTGGTACATTGCAGTTGTCAGCGATCACTAACATTTACCAAATCTGTCTTGTTAGGTTCCCACGTAAGTTTGTGCAGCAACAAAGAAAATTCATTCCCATCCTTTACACAGCGGTTCTGATTTTTTTTCACTTTGGTTTGCTTAATTTATGTTTGTAGATTCTTGTGTATATGTTTCTTCCACATTTAATATTGCTTCGGGCAGGTCACCTCTCATCTACATATGCATTTACTAGGGCAGTACTTCTTTTTAAATAAAATGTTTTAAAGTAAAAAGCTTTTATTTAACCCAGTGACATTTTAAAATTGAGTAAAATTGAGCAAATAGCCATTTTATCCCATAATGCAGAATGCTTTGCCAATATGTAATCTGTGCAGCCCTCTGCATTATGTATATGTAGAAGGAAAATGAGATAGATGAAGTATTGGTGCTTAAAGTTTTGTAACTAATAGTGCTGCCGACCACCCCCCAAAATCCGTGTTCTTAGCTTTCTCTATTCAATAAATAAAACCATAGTTAGAAAGTTCTAACTCTTATAAAACATGAATTCAACTCATTTCCTGCCCTTCTGTGAGAAAATTGATGTCCACAGAAATAAATCACTCAGTGTCATTGACTAATTAATGTCAAATGAGGCTCTACACCAGATCTCCTGATGACTGGCTTCCTTTCTAAACAATCCTGTATTATAGCAACCTGTACTTAACTTTCTTGGTTGTGTGCTTGGAGCTGCTGTGCTAACAAGAATTTCAGATCATCTGTATTTTATCTGTATTTCCTAGCATAAGAAATGACTTATTATATATGCATTTTCTCTTTCAGGTTCATTGTCAGATCCTCCAAATGTTGCTGGCCTAAGTCATTTTTGTGAACATATGCTGTTTTTGGGAACGGAGAAATACCCGAAAGAAAATGAATACAGCCAGTTTCTCAGTGAGCATGCAGGAAGTTCCAATGCCTTTACTAGCGGAGAACATACCAATTACTACTTTGATGTGTCCCATGAACACCTTGAAGGCGCGCTAGACAGGTAATGCTTCATGTCCTGGGGATTATCTAACTGTGCACTTTGAAGTATTATTTTTACAAAGATGGTTTTGTAGTTTGACAAGAAGTGTTTTTCCCTGTCTTATGAATAAGAAAAATAATGAGTCATGTTCTCTATAGTCCTGTTCTCTATTTACCTTGTGGTAAAGGAAGAATAATGACATGACTTTTAATCAGCCTTCAGGCCTACAGGAGATTTTATTGGCTTATAAAATCCTAGCCAGTTCTTCCCAGCCCAGCAAGTGTTTCCTCTAAAGCTCACGATGAAGAATGACTAGCATCATGGATTTCTTTCAAGCACACTTCCTATTCCAGAATGCCTGACCTGAAGTTTTCTGTTCTCTTCTATTGCATTAGTTCCCAAAGATTCGCAGTACTTACAGAATGTTCCTGCTCTTTTCACCCCAGGGAATATTTTGGAAGTATATTCTGGAGCAAGCTCCGTGAGGCTGGTTCAGTTTCTTGGTCAGTTTTCTCTGCTGCCAATGTTTGCTAATCTTTGTGGAATCACTAATTTGATTCATTTTTTTTAAGTAATTTGGCAAGTTTTTTTAGTTTTTATGTTACCGAGTTATAGTTTGTATGAATCTGCAAACAAATCTGGCTTTTTTGTTTTCATCATCAACTTTATTTTCTCACATTAGTTTGTTACAAAGTATATATTATGTTGTGGGTTTAAAAAAGTTTTTATTTTGGATTAATAGTTTGCATTTGTTCCTTGACAAAAAGAGCATTTACAGACATGTTTGGACTAAGTGACTGGGCCAGGGTGCTCTGTATCCTGCTCATTCTCTTAGGTTTCAGCCTTTAGGCAGCAGCTCTGAGGTATAATTCTCAGATGAGTTCCATTAATGAGTTCCCTGGCATCATACATTGAATTTCATTTCCTGCTTTACAAATGTGACAGCAGATGGTTGTAAACTAGATCTCTGCTACTGGGCACAGAAAAATCTACTTATATAAGAGGATCTTTTTAAGAACTTGATTGCACAGTGTCATAAACATGATTCTTTATCTAGGCCTATGCAGCTTTGGTATGTAACTGGTAGGCACTTCTTCCAGCCTGGAGAAGGTGAGTAAAAGAAGGTACAGGTTGGAAATTCCTCTGCTTCCCTACAACTTTGGGTGTAGACTCCAGCTACATGAAGCTTTCTTTTAGATTAATGTGAAGTGTTTACCTCAGGGTTAGCCTTTTTGACAGGTGAACTGGGGCATGGTAATTGATAAGTTTATAGACCCAAGAGTCTCCAGCTTCCACCGGTAGCAGATCCAGGCAGAACCTCTGCCCGTGCCTTCATTTGAATTCTGTGTCTTGTTTGTCCAAGATGGGATATGAAGTTTCTTAGGAGGAATTACTGCATGTGATCATGACTTAAATAGCTACCTGATATAGGAGTATGGATTTATTTGCTAAGGTTATCTTAGTTAGATTTTGGTATTATCATTAAATAGCCTCGAGCAAAGCATGTATCTTTTAAAGATACATGTCATTATTTGTTGAATCACTGCTTATCAAAAAATTTACAGACTATTCATAGTACTATTTTGTAAAAGCCCATAATTGTGGCTTAGTCAAATTATTATTTATGTCTTATCTCAGGTTTTTGGTGTTGATTTTTTTCTACTGATTCAAGTTTTTTTTTTTTTTTTTTTTAATAAGAAGAAAATAAATTTCAAATTAAGTCTTTTAAAATTGGGTCACTTAATTTGTTTGTCCTAAGGTGCCTGAACCTTAGCGAGATTATAACTAAAGCTGTAAATTGAAGATTTATTTAGCAAAGCACTGTGATTTACCTTTTCCTTTTTAAGACAGGCACATAGAGAGCATGGTTTTTCATAGATGTGCCAAGTCCAAGTCTGAAATAAATAGACTGCTGCTATTGACTTGTAGTCTTAGTGTCTGGGACAGATCAACCCTGACTTCAGATACGTCCAAATTACATTTTCTTACGTTACTCAGAAATTATTTTATATTTTTTCTAAGTAGCAGTGATGTTTTTTCTGATCCTATGGAATTCATTTTTCCACTAGATGCATTTTTCAATGTTTTTAAAGGCCATTTTTTTAAATGACAGCTCTCAAGTGGCTAATCATTTTTCCAATCCTTAGGTTTGCACAGTTTTTCCTGTGCCCCTTGTTCGATGAAAGCTGCAAAGACAGAGAAGTGAATGCCGTCGATTCGGAACATGAGAAGAACGTGATGAATGATGCCTGGAGACTCTTCCAGCTGGAGAAGGCCACCGGGAACCCCAGACACCCTTTCAGCAAGTTTGGGACAGGTTTGTCAACAGCACCTTTCACACACACTGCTTCTCCTTGGCCTCATGGAAGGCCCTGGCCTCTGTGCACAGGATTCTATTTGCAGTTCAGGAGAGAGGATTTCAGAACTCTATTCCTACTAAACGTTTAGGAAGCAGAGCAGGTAAGAGTTGTGAATAGATATTAACCAGCATTTCCCAGGGAGTAGAAAAATAGATTCATTTGTTCTCAAGTCTACTTTCCAAATGGAAAATTTTGTTTTTTTAATATGTTTTTATTTTATTTTTAATGGAAAGGCGGATATACAGAGAGGACGATCTTCCATCCACTGGTTCACCCCCAAGCAGCCACAATGGCTGGAGCTGCGCAAATCCAAAGCCAGGAGCCAGGTGCCTCTGCTGGGTCTCCCACACGGGTGCAGGATCCCAAGCGTTTGTCCTGTCCTCGACTGCTTTCCCAGGCCACAAACAGGGAGCTGGATGGGAAGTGGGGCTGCCAGGATTAAAACCAGCGCCGATACAGGATCCCAGTGCATACAAAGCAAGGATTTTAGCCACTACGCTACTGCGCCAGACCCAAGTTTTTCGAATTTATCTTGAAATAAATCTGGAATAAATTTTAGAAAGATGTATTTGTTTATTTACTTATTTTGAGAGGAAGATTGATAGAGGACAGACAGATCTTCCATCTGTTGGTTCACCCTTTAAGTGGCCCTATTGGCCTTAGTTGAGCCTCTGGGAAGCCAGAAATCAGGAGCTTCTTCCAGGTCTCTCATGTAGACACAAGGGCCCAAGGACTTGGGTTATCCTTCACTGCTTTCCCAGTCCATAAGTAGGAAGTTGGGTCAGAAGTGGAGCACTGGGACATGAGCCGATGCTCATGTGGAGTGCCAGCACCACAGGTGGCTATGCCATTGCTTTGGCCCCAAGTTTTTCTGATTTTAAAAGTGTAAGCTGGGCCCGGCGCGGTGGCGCAAGTGGTTAAAGGTCCTCGCCTTGCACGCCCGGGATCCCATATGGGCGCCGGTTCTAATCCCGGCAGCCCCGCTTCCCTTCCAGCTCCCTGCCTGTGGCCCGGGAAAGCAGTTGAGGACGGCCCAAAGCTTTGGGACCCTGCACCCGCGTGGGAGACCCGGAAGAGGCTCCTGGCTTCGGATCGGCATAGTATCGGCCCGTTGCGCTCACTTGGGGAGTGAATCATCGGACGGAAGAGCTTCCTCTCTGTCTCTCCTCTCTGTGTATCTGCCTTTCCAATAAAAAAATAATAAAAATAAATCTTTAATAAAAAGTGTAAGCTGGACCAGTCACAATGGCTCAGTTAGCTAATCCTCTCCCTGCGAGCACTGGGATCCCATGTGGCGCCAGTTTGTGTCCCTGCTACTCCACTTCCCATATTTTTTAAAAAGACATACTATCCCCCTCAGCTGTTTTCCTTGTACCTAGGCAAGTGTTACATGGCTGGGAAACAAGCAGCCGGTAGTTGGCAGGCATTCTGAATCTGGTTAATGCCAAACTTGTGTTAACTATACCAGTAAGCTAACAATTGCTTAGTCTTCTTCCCCCCTCCCCTTTTTGTTTCAAAGATATGAGAAGAACACCAGGCTGGGACATGCCCGCTGGTGTGAGAGTGCTACAGATTGCCTGGGGAAAGGGGTCTGGGGACATATTAGAGTGGGAATGGCTAAGGGTATGTTTGACTGGAAAGGAATGACTTCCGGGGTCTTTCATGGACTGTGCCACTCACAGGTAGGCAAGGGATAGAGAGGGTGGGGAGGATTGGAAGGCGTGTCTAGGTCACGCCAAAGCACCCACCCATGTGGGAGACTTGGTTTGGGCTAAAAGGCATCATAAGCTGCCTGCTGGAACTCAAAAAAGCTGGGTTTAGGGGCATGCATGGCTGAGCTAAGCCAGAGAACCCACCCATGACCCAAGTGTTTAGATCCCTGCCACCCACATAAGAGACCTCAAAGAAGCTCTTGGCTTCCGGCTTAAGCCTAGTCCAGTCCTGATCATTGCAGTCACTTGGAGAGTAAACCAGCAGATGGAAGATCTCCCTTGCACTCTAACTCTTTCAGATAAGCAAATAAATATTTTGTTTAGAAAATTAATTAAATAAAAAAGTTTATTTTTGTGTTTGAAAGGCAGAGAGTAGAAGAGCAAGATCTTCTAACCACTCCCTAGCTTACTCCCAAATGGCTACAACAGCCCATGCAGGGCCAAATCAAAGCCTGGAACTCCACTTTTCCCATATAAGTGGCAGAGACCCAGGCACTTGGACCATTTTCCACTGCCTTCTCAGGCACATGAGCAGGAAACCAGAGCTTCTCTTGGGTCTCCCACATGAGTGCAGGGTTCCAAGGCTTTGGGCTGTCCTCCACTGTTTTCCCAGGCCATAGCAGGGAACTGGTTGGGAAATGGAACAGCTGAGATGTGAAATGGTGCCCATATGGAATGCCACACTTTCAGGGAAAGGATTAGCCAATTGAGCCATTGCACCAGGCTGCCATTTATTCATCTTCTAGACTTAATGAGAATTAAATTAAGGAGCTCCTGGGCCCAGCGTGGTAGCCTAGTGGCTAAAGTCCTCACCTTGAGTGTGCCTGGATCCCTGTAGGCACCAATTCTATAAGGGCGCCTCACTTCGCATCCAGCTCCCTGCTTATAGCCTGGGAAAGCAGTCAAGGATGGACCAAAGCCTTGGGACCCTCTACCAGTGCGGGAAACCAGGAAGAAGATCCTGTCTCCTGGCTTCAGATTGGCTCAGCTCCGGCCATTCCAGTCACTGGGGGAGTGAACCAGCAGACAGAAGACCTTCCTCTCTGTCTCTCCTTCTCTCTGTATATCTGACTTTGCAATAGAAATAAATAAATTTTTAAAAATTGAGATCTCATAAAATGCTTAGCATACAGCACTAGCGAACTACACATAAGATTCCACTCCACTGAAACCTTAGGTGTGTCTTGCCTCCTTAAGTGAACTTGAAGGACTTAAAATGCAAAGGCATTTGCTACACTCCTTTACATTCTGTAATGCACTTTACAAGCAGGGGGCTAAAACAATTCTCAACTGAAAGACAGAAAGAGCTGAGTGTACTAACGTAATGCTATTGCACTTGGCCCCAGTGTACTAGAGTTAAAGCAACAATTAAGTAAGAAAAAAAATGTCACCAAACCTGAAACTCAGCTCCCCCTCTTTGGCTTCCATTCTGCCCATACATCAGGGAGTACCTATTGGATTTCCTTCACCCACTTGTTGGCTTCTGTTATTTCCTTCCCAGCTGGCTAAACTCAGTTGTTCCTACCATGTCCATGGGTCTATGTTTAGAGGAGCAGCTCACTAAATAGCAACCAGAACTAACTTTTTCCCTTTCCTGTTCCAAACCCTATGTGTAAAAATACCCAGACTTCTCTCAATTGAATTCCATAGAAAGGCAAAACCAAACATAACTCACCAACACAGGCTACAGAAAAACTTCCAATTGATCCAGGAATGATCCAACTAAAACTAAGATACATGTGAAGGATAAATGCAGCAGAAAAGCCACATGAAAGCCAATTGTGGGTTCGATTTTTAAGTTAATCTCGTTTCCGTAACAGCATAGCGCTCTTCAACTTTCACTGGTTATTTAATAGCTCTTGGCTTTTCACTCCTCAAAAGAGCACTGATGTCTTTTTTTTTTTAGCATTTTCTTTTCTTTTTTTTATTATATTTTTGACAATCTTTACATAGTTAATTAGGGTAAAAAGGTTCAAGGGCTATAGGAAAGTAGGTAAGACTATTATTTCCATATTGTTTCCTTCATGTACCTGAGGCAAAGGGGGATATTGAGGGAGAAGCCCCACCCAGTGTCCCACCCACCCCAGGTCCCAGATGTGGGGCATGCTCCAAGATTCTTGCTCAAGTGGTTTTGATAGTTCGCCAACTATGAATCGCTGCCAATCTCTCCACTCCAAGCACAGTGAGGTCTTTGAAGAATCCATTGATTGACATAGTCCATCATAGAGTCTCCATTTGCCCAGTATTTTGCTGCCAACATATAGCTGAGGTGGTTGATTGACTTTTTCTGTCTTCTGTCTTTTCTTGGTTAGGGTTCTGAGTGCGGCATTTCGATTGGGGAGATCCCCAAAGAGACTTTGTCCAAAGTGTTCCCAGACCAGATTCTTGTATATTCTAGCAAGCATAGGGCCCAGCACAGTCCATCACCCCGATCAGCTGGTGGTTGCAATTGCTGGGTTGGTTCTGTTTTCAGCCCCGACTTCCACTGGAACCAATGGCTGTTGCAGTCCGGCCTGGTTCTGCCCAGCACATAACTCGGCCCTCGCATAAACCAGTGGGAGCTGCAGCCCGGTCAGAGCGACCCGCAATAACTCCCACCAGGCCCACCCCCTACCCTGGTTTGCCAGAATGTGTAGCAGACTAGTCCAGTCTGTCCCACATCCCCTTCGGCTCTCATACATGTCGATGGGTATTGAAGCTTAGTTTCAACTAAGCAGCTCAACTATCTAGCCCTGACAGATGTTGTTGAGTGCCTCTCTGTCTAGCCAACCCAGCCCCTGTCCTAGATTTTTGTGCCCTCCCGTGGGAGTGTTAACCCAAGAGGGAAGAGCCCCCTATTTCCCTCCCAGGTTTCTCTCACTCCTGGATTATGCACTCTCCATGTGGTTCTGTGGTTTGACTTCAGCTGATGCTGCGGCTAAGCCCAAACAACCCTCACCCACTCTAATTTTGTTTGCACCAGTAGGAATAATCAGCCCAGGCTGGCTTTTCCCTGATCTAGTCCACATGAGGCACACTGGTGTTGTAGCCTTGCTTAGTCTGGTCTGCCCCTATCCCAGTCCACGCTCTCCAGTGGGAGTAGCTGTCCAACAAGGGAACCACCCCTTGTTCCCTTGCCGGCTCTGCCCCCTCCCTTCCTTGTTCTCACGTGTGCTGGTTGGGCGCTGCGGTCCCTTCTGGTACAGGCAGCCTCACCTTGGCATTCCGTATTGTGCACTGGTTTTTGTCGCAACTGATGTCTTTAT